ACCTGGAGCTAGCAACCCTAAGTCAACAGGCCTCTAAGGCTGCCCATGACCAGAAGCAAGTGAAGTAGAGCAGGATTAAAACAAAACAAAACTGGTTGCTCTTATGAAGGCACGGGAGCTGAGCAAAGATGCCCTCCTACCAGTCCTGTGGCAACAACTGCTCTTTAAGAAGTCTGCTAGGGGTCCCAACCTGGACAGCCCAGACCAAGCCTCATCTCGTCAGATCTTGAAAGCTAAGCAGGGCTGACCCTAGCAAGAATCTGGATGGGAGCCCTCCGGAGAATATGAGGGCTGGGAGGCCAGAGGCAGGCTATCAAGCCACCGCTCTGAATGTCCTCCAGTAGGAGTTGCCAGAGGTTGCCATGACTTCCAGGCACAAGCATGCACACACGTACACAGGCACACACACAAAATGCAAAAATACCCCCCCCAAAAAAAAGAATTCTGCTACGGCCCTGCAGGGAAATAGCACCTGCCCCTGAAGTGTGCGACCTAGGAACCAAGTCGGCACATTGCTTATCCTTATTTTTCTTGGCCAAAGTCTTCCAGCAAGATTCAGGGCACAGTAGGGCGTACGGTTAGGGCGGGATATAAATCCCAAAATAAATAAATAAATAAAATAAATAAATCTGAGTCTCTCAGTTGTCAGCCAGACATTTGGGCCACTGTACTACATTGGCTCTCGTTCCTACAGGGCAAGACTTTTCTTCATCCAGGCAGACAGAGAACTGGCAGCACCCGTGTTGGGTATTACAAGTTGAAAACACTCAGTATATCTGGGGTTAAATGTTTGTTTATGTTACTCACAGGAAGTCACATGTTTTTCATGTTACCAATGTTCTTTAGATGTAGAAAGCCCGGGAATTTTCTCTCTGATCTAGGAATTTGATTAGGACTAAAGTGTCAAGGTGTATTACCATTTTATGGCTTCTCTTCCCGTTTTTGTTTGGTGTTCTGAAGAAGAAGAAGAAGAAGAAGAAGAAGAAGAAGAAGAAGAAGAAGAAGAAGAAGAAGAAGAAGAAGAAGAAGAAGAAGAAGAAGAAGAGTAGCCATAATCTCTCTCTTCTAGTTTTGTCTTTGTAAAGTAAGGATGTAGCTGATTTAGCTCTGTTGTTATTTTCATCCCAGTTACCCTTCCTATGCTAGAATTTAGTAAAAACTTTATATTTTAATCACACATGGACTCTCAGTCTGAATTATTTTACTCTGGCTCTGCTGGACTATCTTATCTCTGCTAAATACCAATTTTTTCAATATCTCACTATCACCCAACAACCTGCGCCTTCTCAGATGCAGGAGTAAACCGTGAAGGCGCTGGGGAAGACAGTGATGTGAGTTGTCCTCCACCTATATTTTATTCAGGGTACTGTTTCTCAATTCATTGAATGGCGTTATACCCCACTGAACTCACTTCTAGGGTTGCCAGTTCTTACCTTTGTTGCGACAGGGGAGTCCCTGGACATCTTCAGTGCACGCACAAAGTGCGCACACCACGATGACCCAGAGGTGACATCATCGCGTCGGGAATGTTGGGGGCAAAACCACTATCATTCAACGGAAAAGCATAGAGTTTTCCCTCAAATGATAGAGCGTCCCCCCGGCAACGTGCCCAGCGCGATGATGTCACCATGATCCCAGCACTTTGGGGGTGGGGTTTCCCCGGTGGCCGGATCCAGGCCGGCAAGCAAGGGGCCCATTGAGCGGGCAAACCCTCACCCCCCAGGGGACCTGGCAATCGTACTCAGTTCCCTCCCTAAACCCCACCTTCCTCAGGCTCCACTCCCAAAATCTCCAGGTATTTCCCAACCGGGAGTTGGCAACCCTAAGTGACAGGCCTTTAAGCTATCCCCCAGTGTTACATCCACCTTATGCTTCAGGAAGAGGGCAAGGCCATTAAATACCTTTCATTCAGCCACCTTGTTTCCAGACTTTTGTCTCCTTACCTTCTCTACTTCTTGAGTTCTCTCCCCAGCCTTCAGCCTGCCTCACAAACCTACTTGTCTCCCCAAGAGCTTGAGCAAAACTAATAACCTTCCCAGAGGCTGGGCTGCAAACATTCCGAGAGCTTTCTTTCCTCAAGAAGTTGAACTGTTCCTAAACATTCCATGCCATCTCACCAGCTCAGCCAATCAGGAGCAGAGGCTTCTGTGCCACAAGCACAACAGACTACAGATGGGCTACATTTCTTTCCAGGAAAGAGTTAAGATGCTGACAGCCCCTCTGCCAATTCTGTGTCTCTTCCCCCGTCAGGCAATAAAACACAGCTCTATTTCCATGAAAAAAGCCTGACCATAAATCTCAAAGGCTGTGCAGACATATAAAAGCAGGCTGTGTCGAGACCCTTGGAACCACGCAGGCCTCGGCACAGGGAAGGCTGTAACCACAGGCGGGGATGGCATTGTGGAAGGGTCAGTGGTTCACCATGCTCTGGTGTCAATTTGTATTTCCCAGGGCTAGGACAAAATAGGGCATTTGGGATGCGTGAAGTTACTGCAGTACAGCCATCGGAGACAGTGGCCCTATGAAATGCCAGCCTCTTTGGTTCAGCGTCTCTGACCCAGGGGCCAGCCAGCCAGCGGGATCCATGCCAGGCATGCAGGAGGTGGCTGCGTGACTAGAATGTGAGGCACGGATCTCTGGGGTCAATGGCTGCTAACTATAAGAAGGAAAGGCAGTGCCACTAAAAAGCAGTGCACCCCAACTGCAGTTTTCTTTGGGGAGACTTTGACGGCACTCGTGTGCCTGATGAGGTCAGGAGGGCTCCCACTTCCCTGGCTTTCTGCAAGCTGTACAAAGCGAATGGTTCAGGGGGGATTTTTACACTGGTAATAGCCAATGATCCCTCTAAGCTGTGGAGTCTTGTGAGCAAATATTCTACTTTGTGAGTTACTGGCATTAATGCTGTGAGCGAGCAACTTGGCTCCTGCATAAATTAGTTTACTCTGGAGCCCTCCTTCCTGAGCGAAGACAAAAATGTGTGAGCCGGAGGCTAAAAAACTGTGAGCTAGCTAACTCAGCTTAGAGGGAACTCTGGATAGCCCTGATCTGGATAGCCCAGGATAGCCCGACCTCTTCAGAATTCGGAAAGCTAAGCAGGGTCGGCCCTGGGTAGTATTCGGATGGGTGACCTCCAGGGAATACCAGGGGCTTGATGCAGAGGCAGGCAATGGCAAACCACCTCTCAAACATCTCTTCCCTTAAAAAAAACAAGTCTAGCTCGCCACCTGGTGGTGCATAACAGTAAAAGAGCTGGAACTTCTAGCTGCCAGACAATCTTAGGATCTCCTGGCTGTACCACACACGGCCATATGATAATTATAATTAATTACACAGGTGATGAGGCTGTACTGTAACAAAATGGTTCAAAAAGATGCTTGGGTTAGGGACTATGGACTATGCCACTGTGTATAGTTCGTACTATCTCTTACTGCGAAGTTGTTTTTGTTTTCCCCTCCCTCCCTCCCTCCCTCCC